CTCTTATTCTTCCCAGACCACAAGGCCAAACTTATTAAAATACTTGTAGTTAACACCTTCTCCCAGGCTCAACAGCACCTGACAGTTTCTCACTCTTCTGTGCTTAGAGTGTGAGACTGATGAGCTGAATTCTTACATAAATATCTAAAGCATATACATGCTGGTCATGAGATCCAATGTAAAAGAGTCCTGTGGTTGGATCCATGGTTGCTGAGCTTTTGACGGCATCCTCGGTAGTAAACATCCAGTATTTTTCTCCACTATTACTTTTCAGAACATAAATTAATCCATTATAACAGCCTGTAGGGAAACAAAATATAAAAAGTGAGATTTCATGTCATCAGAAAGGTGATCAAAAAGGAAAAAAAAAAAAGATGAGATTTTGATGTCACTGGAAAATAATTATTTAGCCTAAATCATGACAATTTATTTTCGTGTATATTTAGGCTCTGTGTTCAACTCATTTGATTTAAATTTTAGCAATGTAAAGCAGAAACTAAAAGGTAGTCACTTGTGTAAAATACCTATTTAGTGGTTACACTTTATTTTTTAAAAGTACTATAAAGTGCTTCACTACCAAGAAACAATGAAGCACACTATGGCAGAGAGAGGTTTTGGCAGACTTGAGTTCAAATCTTATCATGGCTGTCACTGGGCAAATCACCCAGTGTTGCTGGGCCTCAGATTATTCTGCAGAATGTGGATTCATTTACTTCAAGGGTTATTGGGCAATTAATATAATGTGGATAAATGCCTGGTGTTCAAGAAGTACTAACGCTAATAATAATCAATGTTCACTGAGCATTGACTATGTGTCAGGTGCTATTCTAAGTATTTTATATCTATTAACTCATTTAATCCTCACAGTGAAAGACACTATCCCCAGAACCCCCAAATTCCTAGTAAAGTAAAAGTCATCTACACCTTAATGAAACTGAGCAGCAGCTAGTAGCTAACACTTATTGAGCACTAGCAATGTACTAATGGATTCATAAGCAATTACCTCCATTTAATTCTCCCAAAAGCTCTGTGATGATTATGGTGATTTTAAAATATGTCCACAAATTCTTTGATACTCTTCTTTTCAATAGGGGGAACCTAATTCCCTTCCCCTTGAATGTGAGCTGGACTTCTAATGAACAGAATAAAGCAAAAATATGGCATGCAATTTTGAAGACTAGGTCTTCCTCCTCATTTACTCGCAGATCACTTGCCCTGAGGGAAGTTAGCTGCCATGTTGGGAGGGAGCTCAAGCAGCCTACAGAGAGGTCCCTGAGGCAAGAAACTGAAGCTTCCTGCCAAGAACCAGCAAAGAACTGAGGCCTGCTGCTAACAGTGATGGGAATGAGCCATCCTGGAAGCAGATTTTCCAGCCCAAGTCCAGCCTTCAAGATGGCTACAGCCACATGACAGACCCTGAGCCAGAACCACCAAGTAAACTTCTCCTAAACACTGACCCACAGAAATTGTAAGATAACAGATGTTTGTTGCTCTAAGTCATTAAGTTCTAGGGTAATTTGTGATGCAGAAAATTCATTTTTTTATTATTTCCATTTTACCCATAACTGAAGTTCTAAGAGGTTCAGCAACTTGCCAAAGGTCACAAAGCTTGTAACAGCTAT